CCCTATAAAGGCACATATAGAGTCATGGTTCGGAATGATGAACAATTAACTATTTCACGTGTTGGTGATACAAATACTGCCATTGGTTCTAAAAATTCAATGTTTCTAATGTCCTCTTGGTGTCCGAAATGAAAAAGAACATATTATTTGTTTGTCAATTTATAACAGATTTCCCTAGTATTTTTAAGTTCTCATTAAATGATTTTTTGATTAAAGAAAGGAGCACAGGGAGAACTCTAGCTATCAGGAGTAGAAATAGAGTATTGTATGCACTTGAAGAAGTGAAACAAGCTTTATTCTCTAATCGGAAGAAAAGAACATCAGAAGATATGTGGCATCAATGTCTTGAACATCCTCAAAATAAAGTTGTTCGTTACTTAGAATCTAAAAAATTGATAAATGTTGATACATGAAATAAATCTCATTTTGTTTTTGCTAGTTGTCAGATGGGAAAAAGTTGCAAGCTTCATTTTAGTGGTGCTGATAAAACCTCTCTTTATGACTCATTCAGACTTATGGGTTCCTGCTCCAATTTTATCTAATCAGAGCTATCAATTTTATGTGGTGTTTGTGATGATTATACTTGTTTTACTTGGATTTATCCTTTGAAAAGAAATGTAAATTTTTTGTATCATCGCATGGTTGAAAGGAGGTTTGATAAAAGAATTCGAGTTTTTCAGACCTTACAACGATGTTTCATGTAGGAATTCCTAAACATTTTTGGATTGAAGCCTTTCATACTGCAGTATTTCTTATCAATAGAATTCCCTCTACCAATTTAAAGATGGATTCACCATACTCATTATTGTTTGAACGGTTACCAGACTATTTATCTCTTCGAGTAATTAGTTGTTGGTGTTTTCCATATCTTCAAGACTATGCTACAAATAAATTTAGTCCCCGCTCTCTTTCATATGTATTATTGGGCTATAGTATCCAATGTAAGGGTTATATATGTCTAGAATGTTGTATTTGATGAAAATATTTGTCCTTATATTAACCTCAATTCTTTGTTTGATAGTGTTCAGGTTCAAGGGGAGTTATCCACCTATGCAGAATGGTCAGATTGTTAGGCGTCTGATATACAAACTCCTTCCTCTTCTGATTCATCACCTTCACCTATGCATGACGTCCTTCATGTATCTGGCTCTTTAGTTCCTACTTTGCCCATCGCCAATGATAGTCCTCCAATTTCTCTTGTAGATGTAGATATGACCACTGCAACACCAATTCGAGATGTCTAGGATGATGCAATACATAATCATAATGACGAACGTGTTGCCACTCATGAAACCAACTAATTGAATTTTTTACCACCCTCTGAGCATCCTCATCATCACATTGTCGCAAAATCTCAAGATGGTATTCGAAGACCTCAGATTCTCCCCTACATGGCAGCAATTTTAAGTGCTCTTACTTTTGAAGCTATCCCTTCAGTGCTTAAAACTATTAAGTCTGCCTTGGGTCATCCAGGTTAGCATCATGCAATAGAAGAAGAAATTGAAGTCCTACATGTTAATTCAACTTGGCAGCTAGTTCTACGTCTTCCATGTATGAATTTTGTTGGTTGTCGTTAGGTCTATAAGACTAAATTAAAATTTGATGGAAGTCTAGAGAGACTTAAGGTTAAACTAGTTGTTAAAGGATATAATCAGGTTGCTGGAATTGATTTCTCTAAAACATTCAATCCTATTATTAAGCCTGCTAGTATTCGAATTGTGCTCTCCATAGCTACTGTGTGCCACTGGCCTATCAAACAACTTGGTGTGAAAAATTCTTTCATGCATTGCTTTCTTAAGGAACCTATATTTATGGAACAATCTCATGGATTTCTGAGCTCAAAATAGCTAAATCTCGTTTGTCGATTAAAAAAAGCTTTATATAGTCTTAAGCAAACATCTCGGGTCTGGTTTAATCGATTTAATGCCTATTTATTATCATTGGGGTTTTATTGCAGCATAGCTGATTCATCTCTATCTGTTTCTCGTACTACTTTAGGCACTATTATCCTTCTTCTTTTTGTGGATGATATTATTGTTACTGGTGATAATTCAGATTTTCTAGAATTGTCCATTTCCCAACTTGGAATGAAATTTGCAATGAAAGATCTTGTACCTCTTCACTACTTTCTTGGCATAGAGGTATCTTATATTTCAGGTGGGATTTTTCTCTCACAAAGTAAATATGCCCGGGAAATTCTTAATCGGGCTCAGATGCTCGGCCTCAAACCTATTTCAACACCAACGATAATAAAGAATAATATTCTTGGGAATTCTGATTCATTTCCTGATTCTTCTCTTTATCGAAGTATTGTTGGTGCACTCCAATACATTACCATAACAAAACCAGACCTATCTTATAGTGTTAATACACTGTTTTAATTTATGCATGCCCCTACGATTGCACATTTTCAGGCAGTTATGCAGATTTTTCGTTATATCAATGGTACACAATCTTGTGGTTTAAGAATATTATCTGCCAGTTCCTTAGAGTTATATGCCTTCTTTATTGTAGATTGGGCTGGGTGTGTCCAACTACTCGTTGTTCAACTATTGGTTTCTGCACTTATCTGGGTTCTAACTCATATCTTGGAGTGTTAAGAAATAGTCAACTGTGGCTCGTTCTAGTGCTGAAGCAGAATATCAATCTATGACATCCACTGCTGCAGAATTGACATGACTTTATTTTATTCTTAGGGATATTGGATTGCCTCTTCCTCAGCCACCAATACTTTTGTGTGACAATATTAGTCCTCTTTATATGACAGTTAATCCTGTTTTTCATGCACGGACAAAGCACATTGAGTTAAACTATCATTTTGTGGGTATAAACGTTGCTTTTGGATTACTTATCACACGTTTTGTTTCCTATCGCAATCAAGTAGCTGATATCTTCACCAAGCCTTTGCCACGAGATGTTTTTCGAGGTATTTGCTTCAAACTCGGCCTTCAAATGCCTCCTTAGCCAAGTTTGAGGGGGAGTAATAGAAACAATATTCAATTCTAGTTTTTGAGAATGTAGAAATATTGCCCTTTCCACAATAGAAATATTGCCCTTTCCTTTTGAGATGAGAATATAACAATATAGAAAAGTGTCTATTGCATGTAACAAGATAGAAAAGTGTGTATTATACAATTGTATTACCATTATACATACAATAAAAGAACCACCACAAAATATTGTGGGGCACAATCATTTTTCTTAAAAAAGTTCCTCTTCTCTCTAAAATTTTTATAACGCCAAAATGGGAGTGATGAAAAACTCAGGTATGTTCATATGTAATAAGTATACGAGTGATGTGAGATTGACTTGGTAATGAGCGAGCAATGTTGTCTTCTCTTGGTGATGAGTAGGGCTTGAACCCATCATGGGTAACAAAGCCAACGCGATTCAAAAAACCGTTAGTGCTTATAGGAATGAAACTTATAATGGACCTTCGTTCACATTGCCAGCAATAAACTACCTCTCATACTGTTATGATTGTTAAAAACATCAACTCTACAATTAACCTTTTAGAGGTGACGTGTTTTGCTTGTCAGTTAAATAAACAGGACTATGTTATTTACGTGACATTAGAATACTTTTATGACAAGATTTAAATAAAAATAATAGAAGTATTCAAATTTCTAAAGTGACTTACATGAGTATCATATCCTTAATGTGTTGACACATTCTAAAATCTTTACTCTATGGTTTAGGGCTGTTAACGGACCCTTGACGGTGTGTGGGCTTTTGGGACAGCCCAATTTGCGCTGGATTTGGGCAACATGTTTTGGCCTGATGGCCTAGCCTAGTCTGGGATTGGTATGCCCAAAATATTTTCGATTGGGCCAGTCTAGAATTTTGATTTGGCCCAGAAGTATATGTTATATATTATAAATAAGTTTTACTTGGTACGGCCCGATTTTCGATCCGAGCAACGCTTGAGCCTTGACATCATGATTTTTGATCTAGCCATAGCCAGCCATGAATCAAATTTCTAGGTCCGAATTTGGCATGGGCCTGCCCAACACTTTCTTAGTCGGGGCTTGAGGAGGGGCTAGGAACTCTACCTAGCTGATCAAGCCAATGCGAGACTAGTTCCTCTACCTTCCAAAACCTGAATCTTGGATTTATTATATAATATTATTTTACGGCCATTAGACTTATGACATATTCTTTTTACTTTGCTCTATTTTGTCTTTATAATGACTAAGCGAGCTTTTGTAAATCATTTATGTTCTTGTTCTCATGGTGCTTGTCAAAGAATAGCTTCAAAGCTATTCTTTTGATGTCTTCTTTATGAGGATTAGATGTCGATTTCATGCTAAAACGACGCGTTTTGGTCCCCGGCCTGTAATACCGCTTCCGAAAAAGAAGCGGTATTACAAGAGCAAGAAGCACGTTCTTGCAGAAGCGGCTGAGCCTTTGGATCCGCCCGAGTCCTTTCCTGAGGAAGAAGTGCCTCGCTGCCCTGATCTTCCTTTGGATCCGCCCGAATCTGTCCTGTTAACCATATCTTAGCACGTGCATTTTAGATGATATGATACCAAGGCTCTAAGGATGTGCTCTCCTTTTGGGGGCCATAAGGAGGCAATAGCGCGGCCCTAAAAAATTTGGGCCTAGGTTAGAAAATTAGGACCGAGACGGGACACCACGACCCTAGGACCCGGCCAGGTTGGCCCTAAGGGGATGAAGGCGCTGGGGCCAAAGAGATCCGTTCAAAATTCAATGAGAAAGTTTCTGAAGCTCCCTTTCTCTTGCCTGTAATCGAATCCAACAGTGGTGGAGCAAATCCATTCAGAGTGTAAAAGATTAAAAGTCTCATGCTCAAATCAAGGCATCTATTTAAGTGCAGTGTTCGCCTTCAAAATCTTTACAAAAGCAAAATTTACCATTACTCTGAAAGACACAAAACTTCATCCAACCGTCTTTGGAAGTAGGATCGAATTCAAGATGCAGACAAGAACCATACAACAAGAGGGCCACATTAGGCTCTCTCTCTCTCATCCTCAACTTTAATCATTCTCTTTTCCCACTATTTTGATTTTTAGAATGGGGTAACAGTAATATGGATCTGCATCAAGTAACATTTGCACCACACCTCTCATGGTGGGCCTTAAAGCTGGAAGCCTTGATGTGCATAAAACTGCAATCCTCAAAACCTTCACTGCCTCTTCCCTCATGCTCTCTTGTATCCTAGAATCTACTACCCCCAAAACACTCTCTCTACTGGTCATCTTACTAGACACCCACATTACTATGTCCCCATGCACTCCAAATTCTGGTTGAATTGGCCTTTTCCCAGTGACTAGCTCCATCAGAACTACGCCGAAGCTGTAAACATCGGTTTTCTCGCTCACGTTGCTACTGTAAGCATATTCTGCAGCAGTAGAGATTTCATTCAGGTATATTGGAGGTTGAGAGTTTCAATTGAATTTAGGTTAAGAGCAGCAGTGTAATAGAATTTTGAAAAATATTTCCTCTTTTGGGTAGGTTAGCTTGGATTCAAGACTTGATGGTGTATAGTTTTACACTTGTACTGCAACTGTTTTGTTTCATGTTTCAAGGATTGAGCCAAAAAGGCTATCCTCAAATTTTGTTGCTATACACCTAGGTCACAATAATTTTTAGCCCCATGTCAAATTCGACAGTTTGGGTTGTACAAGAAAGTCTTATAAATTTTCCTTTGAACCTTGGTCTTGGTTTTAGTCCTTTGTCAGAGACCAGGATAAGGAATCTTTGGAAATGGTTTCTGGTTATGACATTGTAAAGAGTTGAAACCTTTGGAAATGGTTTCTGGTAGAGATAGTAGGAAGCGTATCAACGGAAGAGAGAAAAACGCCAAACTGGTCAAAGATATTTTAATGGAAGAAGCCCTTCATGCACTGGCAAGTTAGTAGCCTCCCAAATTTTTACATCTTCAAAATTGACAGTCTATAGTTTCGATACACTCCAACAATATTTATTCAAAATACACAAGATCATTCCCCCAGAAGTTAATAATCTCGTTTTATACTTTTTCGTAACAAATTGGTGTTTTAGCCTAGGCAAATGCAACTTAGGATTGATTAAACCATTGGGTCCTTTCCAGCTGAGTCGGAGGGGTTGAATAAAAAAGAAATGTAAAGAAGAAAATAATAAAAAAAAAAAAAAATATTTAGTGGGACTGTAAATTGATTTGGGGGTTCCATAGATTTAGATCATCAGCCAACTAATCCCGATCTAGATGGGGCAAATTTTTGAAACCCGGCTGAAACCAACAAAAAAGTAGAGATGGAGATTCAAAAACAGGGGTTAGACCCCAAAAATGAGAGAGGGAGAAGAGGATGAAAACAGGGTTGAGAGAGAAATTGATTGATAAACAGGGGCATAGAGAAAGGGAGAAAGTCTTACCGGGAGCCATGTACCCCAAGGTACCTGCGACCGACCTTGAAACCTCCCTGCTCCCCACCCTCTGGACCACCTTCGCCAACCCGAAGTCTGCAATCCTTGCCTCAAAGAACTCATCAATCAATATATTACTCGACTTCACATCTCGGTGCACCACGGGTCTACGACACCCATGGTGTAAATACTCCAGACCCTTTGCTGCTCCCAAAGCAATCTGATACCTCCTATCCCAATCCAACTCACATTTCTCACTTCCATGTAACCTATCCCATAAACTCCCGTTTGGCATGTAATCATACACCAGTAATTGGGATTCTTCACCGCTTATACTGCAATATAATTTCACTACATTAACATGCCTTATCTCACTTAAAGCTGAGACCTCAGCCTCAATTTCTTGAGAATTTGATGACCTCCGTTTCTTCAGCATAGACACACTTGTTGTAAAGTCTTCATTTTCCTTGGGTTGAATCCATATTTGCTTCACAGCTAAGGTTTTTCCATCACTCAAATCTACTCGATATACCTCACCTGAGCCCCCTTGTCCTATCAAGTTTTCTTCCTTCAAAGAGTTGAGAATTTCTCTCTCTGTAAATGTTAAGATATGGAATGATTTCAGGTTCCATGAACTCTTGGATGAGAAATTTTTTGAGCTTCGTCGCTTTAAGAAGAGGAAAGAGGCTAGTAATACAACCAAGATGGTAGTTCCAATTACTAAGCACACAATGATAGTTATGACATTGGGGTCGCCTGAATTGGACACACATTGACGGAAATAGTGAAGATTCTGGCTACAAAGGCCGGAATTTCCAGCCAACCCATCTGCATAAGCTTCTGATTCCAGGCCTTGGGGTATAGGTCCAGTTAATTGGTTATTAGAGAGGTCCAAAAGACTAAATCGAACCACTGAAAATCTTGTCGGAATTTCACCAGAAAGTTGATTATCTGACAAATTCAAGGAATTAAGTACCTGAATTGACGCCAAGCTCGCCGGGATCTGACCCACAAGCTGGTTCCCAGCAAGATTTATGTCGCTTAAAGATGCACAGGAGCCAATTGTGTCAGGTATTTTGCCAGAAAATTTGTTGTCTTGGAGATGGAGTTTATTGAGCTTTGGCAACTCTCCAATGGTAGCTGGAATTTCACCTTCAATCTCATTAACACTGGCATTGATCTCAATTAAGGAAGAAGCTTGTGAAATTTCAGACCAAAGTTGGCCAGAAAATCGATTATTTTGTATATATAACTCGGTAAGAGACTTGGCGTTTCGGATTTCAAGACCCACCTCACCTTCAAATTGGTTCATGGCAAAATCTATGATCTCAAGTTTTGGCAAACCCCAAATTCCAGCACTAATCTTACCAGAAAGTGAGTTATTGCTCACCCTTAATCGATTCATAGAAGAACAAGTAGCATAAGTAGAAGGCAATTCCCCTGATAATTTATTATCAAGCATGAGTAAGAAAGTCATCTTACCTTTAAGGCACATATCAGGTGGAATAGGTCCAGTAAAACCATTTTCAGAGACATCGATGAAATAGAATTCAGACCAACTTCCAAGCTTTTGCGGCAGAGGGCCTGAAAGATTGTTAGAGTACAATGAAAGGTTCACCAGCTCTCGAAATTCACCAAATTCAACAGGAATTTCTCCTGAAAATTGGTTGTAAAAGAGTTGTAAAGAAACCAACTTTGTCAAGGACTTGAGCTCTGTAAGACCTCCATCAAGGTAATTCATCGAAGCGTCGAACTTTTGGAGATTCACTAAGTTACCAAAACCAACAGGGATTGTTCCATTGAGCGAGTTGTTATAGAGCTCCAGCTGCCATAGCTTTGAAAGTTTCGAAATTGAAGCTGGAATCTCTCCATAAAAGGAGTTATCAGAGAGTTCTAAGTTCACGAGCTCAGTGACGTTTCCAATATCTTGCGGGATGCGTCCGGAGAGGCCACAATTAGAGAGATAAAGCCAGCTGAGTTGAGAAAGAGCCAATATCTCTTCAGGAAAAGGGCTCGGATCGAAGGGATTATCACCAAGGCTCAAAGAAACCAAGTTGGGTTTGTTTCTCAAAGAAGTAGTAGGGAAAGGACCAGAGAAGCCATTATCAGAGAGGTTCAAAAGCTTCAATTCTGAAAGATTAGAGAGATCAGGAAAAGACCCAGTGAAGGAATTGAAAGCTAGATCAAGGTATTGAAGCTTTTTGCAATTGGTAAACCCATTAGAGATGTTCCCATAAAGAGAATTTTTCCCCATGAAAAGCTTTTCGAGCGAAGCAAGCCCGCAAATGGATTCTAAAGGCAATTCTCCAGCCAAACGTTTCGAACTCAGATTGATTTCAGTTACATTTCCTTGCAAGTTGCAGTGAATACCAGTCCAATTGCAAGGAGATGTATCATTTTTCCATGAATCCAACAAACTAGTTGCAGAGGACTTTAAAAGAGAGGCCTTCAATTCAAGCATTACCGGTGCATCTTGTGCCCAGCTACCAGTGAAGCAGGAACATAGTAAGAGAAAGAAGAGGGAGCTGCAATGACCAGAGGTGACCATTTTTCTGGTTTTGAAAGTCTTGGAAGGTCTTCTGTGTCTCTTTAACTCTGAAAGTATGAAGAAGAGAGGAAGAGATAAAGAGGAGTTCTCATCTCACACGACTTCTTACCCATATTGCTGCAAGTTCACGTTCACACACAGGTTACCTCTGATAATTTCTCTCTCTTCCCTTGACTTGAAAGTTGGGTTTATAGAGAAAAAGTAGTTTATAGTCGTTTATTTGTCAAAAGGAAGAAACTGGGTGATCTCACTTTACTGTTGCCTTAAGTTTTTGTGACAGAGGGGGAGAGCAGTTGCACCCTCCCTCTGGCCGCCATGCTTGACTCGCTCTCTAAAAAAAACGTGGGGGTTTATATTCTCTCTCTAATAAAACATGTGTGGTTTTAGCTTAAAAGATTTTCTACTCCCACCGGTGTATACTATCAATTGCTCCCACGCTATATCGCATAGTAAGGATACTGTTTAGATCTCATATTTTACGGATGTAATATCTAGAATCCATAAAGAATCTCAACAAAAAATGATTCAAATGAAATGTTTATATGCTAAATAAAAATGATATCTCAAGATTGAATAAAGACGTCTAATTTTTTGAAGAGTTAGATCTAAGCATTACAAAATTCAACATTCAAGTTTCTTTTAAAATAATCATCTACTGGTTTTTAGTTTTTATGGGGCTACCAATATTTTAGACCGAAATAATAGCGAGTTGTACGAGGGAGTAGACATGTAGTATGCTCCTGCGGGAGGTTAGTGTACGTGCTCGCCTTTTTATGGGGCAGATAGTTAGTGGAAGTCGGTCACACTGAAACGACAACTGCCTAAATTGTTTTTTTGGGGTCCACAGATGGATTTGGGTCCACGATATCTGACCTTTCTATAGAATACGGGCGGCTTAGAAGAGCCACCATAATGAATCATTGAATACTGCCCTTTATTTATTTATTTATTTTTAAAATAATTATTGTTAATTCGTCAGAAAACAATTAACATTTACCAAAAGAAAAAAAGTTTATATAAGGTTGTAACTTTAAAATGTAAAACTAAATATGCACCTTAAAAATCCATCGGTTAATGTTGTTTTAATGTTGAAAACCCCTCTAATTGATCATCTCAACATTGAGATGTATGACGATGAAAAAAACAAGAATTTTGAGTCCTAAAAATAATGCATCTTACAATACATTATCTAGACCGTCTATTTTCAAGATTTTTATATGTTTATAGATCTACTTGATTTTAATCATTTTTGAAGTTCAAAGTTTTATAATTAGATTAAAAAATAGATTTTCAAATAATCTAAAAAATATTTACATCAAAATTATATGTTATGATAAAATTTGAAAGTAGATCTTAAATGAATTGTTTAAAATTGCAACCTTAGAGAAACCACACCCCGTTATCGAATGCCATTTTTATGAATATATAGATAGAAAGTCAATCAAACTAAATTCTATTGTGTGAAGGTTAACCATCTATTGCCTCGTACTTACTGTTGTTAATTTGTTGATTAAAATTAACGACCAGTTAAATGCCTTGTAGCATATATACGAATATAGGATAAAAGGAGTCAAATCTAAGATTTATGGTAAAAAAATATCTATCATAGGTGTAAGTTCTCAATAACCTGCAAAGATTTGAGAAAGTACCATGAAATACATTTTTTTAAAACGTATATGACCCTTCTTTTGTCCTTAGTCTTTTCAATAATTGAGACCTTTATCTATCGTGAAAGAAAAATAGTGTAATTTCCAAGTTGGGATATCGTGTGGAAGAGGTTGGAGATTTTCTTTAAGGGTGCCGCTGGTATACCATCCGTAGGTGTAGAGATAAGGCTCAATTTTATCATCGAATATAATTTTCTGAAAAATGTTGTTAGCATTTTATCAAAATCTTTTTTATATCTAACTATAAAATTTTAAATTTTAAAAATGGTTAAAATCAAGTAAATCTATAAACATATGAAAATCTCGAAAATGGATGGTGTAGAAAATGTACTATTTTTGAGACCTAAAATCTTTTTTATTTTTCATGGTCATACATCTCGATGTCAAAATGATCAATTAAATGGTTTTTCAACATTAAAACTACCATTTCCGATGGATTTTTTAGGTGCATCTATAGTTCTACATTATAAGGTTGCATCCTTATATAAACTTTTTCCTTTCTTTAATGATACAACCATCCCCTCACACTACACTTAGTTTACGGGTATTTCATAATGGGAAATGATTCTATACTTCCCCTACAACGTAAAAGATGTATGCCACCCTTACCATCTAGCCGTTCATTTTTATCAAGAGAGTCATTCACCGTTTGATCTTAGATCTGATGTCTTAATTTTTATTTTTAGTTTTTTAAAAATAATTTTTTGATAAAATATAATGATCAAAATACCCTTTAAAACTTTTGGTCATTTTATTTTATTGAAAATATTTTATTTATATTTTTCGCTAGTGCAAGTTTAATAGAGGATTAGACATCCAAAATTTGGTGTCAAAATAGTTTATAAAATTTTTTTAAAAATAAAATAGTATAGAGACATGACATTATGATTGGGGCAATCGTAGCCCTCCATTCATAATGGATGGTTGGATAAGGGGAAGTATATAAGTTTTATGTTGTAGAAAAAACATATAAAGCATGCCCTTTTATAATCTAGAATGAAGTTTATTGGCGACCTGCAATGGCCAACTTGGTAAAAAATAGGCAAAAGAACTAATGAAAACCCGGATCGCCTACCAATTGACTTTGATGTGGATCAATAATTATCAATCTAGATAACTGGGTTCTAAGTCCCAATTTTGCATGTTTCATATATGCTTTGCTTTTAAATGCCTTTCAATGAGGATATTGATGCAAAAATCCACGCCACCCATGGAAGAAGCCATACGTCTGTTGCTTCAAGACGAAGCACTGCTTAATGAGGTCTTATTTACTAATTCGCATAGGAGGTCCTATAATAGAGGAAGATATCGTAGTTCAGGAAAACTCCAAAATAATAAAGAATCTGAACACAATATCAAAATAATGAGAAAGGCAAGTCTTTGTAAAGCCTATAAATCAAAGAAAGGTTCCCACTATACTTGTGGGAAAGTTGGACATTATGCCATTTGGCACAACCAAAGAAATTATATTGCCCATGAAAAATAGAAAGAAGAGAAAGGAGTTTATGATGATAAAATTGAAGAAGCAATTTGTATCAATGAGGGGGTATAAGAGCAACTACCAATGTTACATAAATTCAATCAACATGGTGAGATCATATGACCCAAGATACGATATTTTTATGATGATAAAATTGAAGAAGCAATTTGTATCAATGAGGGGGTATAAGAGCAACTACCAATGTTACATAAATTCAATCAACATGGTGAGATCATATGACCCAAGATACGATATTTTTACCGCTAAAAAGCCCTTTTTTGATATGTCAGGAGTCTTGACAAGGGATATTACTACTATAAAAGTTGACGGAATGAGAAATATTATACTAGAAATTCCCAATGGAGATATCAAGCATTTTTCCAATATCCTCTATGTTCTAAAACTCAATAGATGATGCAAATCGCATTCCAATATTTTTTATTATTAGTATCTTTTTATTTTTATGATTGTTGGGTTAAATTTGATGGATTGGTAGTGTGAGGGGTTAAAACATTATTTTTATATTATTATATGTTGGGTAGTCATTTTGCAATATTTCCCTTTCTCGAGGATTAAGATAGGTCTTCTTGATTTAGTTAGTTTTCTATTTCTATGGGAAAGTCATGTAGAGCCTAATTTAGTGGGAGTATAGATTTTTTTTAGAAAAGAGGATTTAGGTGGTGATTGATATGATAAGGGTCCATGGGATGTGATGATGGATATCATAAGGGTCCATGAGAGGAAAGTAGATCGCTGAAAGGGGCTCCTACATTCATAGGATAGAAGTTATTGGGTTTGCATGATTTAGAGAGAGATTAACTTGGGTTTACATTCATGGAAGTTATTGGGTTTGCATGATCTAGAGAAAGACGTGTAGATAGAGAGATACATGGGTTGGAGAGAGAGAGAGAGAGAGAGAGAGAGAGAGAGAGATCTGGGATGTAGAGAGAATTTTTCTTATAGTTTTGTTATTTTATATTTAAGAGGGTTGACATCCTAATTAGAAGGGACTGAAATATTTTTGTAGAGAATTTGTTTATGGATGAAGAAAGATAGTTTCTTCTCCATAGCATGATTTACATTCATATTTTCGCTCCAGTATTGTTGAATTTTTAATTGTTTAAGATCAAAAGAAGATCGGATTTAATTTTCTGGACTCCTTTTGCATTATTTGGTATCAGAGCATGGTTGGGTTAACAACTACGATTGATGGTTATGGAGCTCGCAATCATAGGAATGTCGAGCAAGATCAAATATACAAGAAAATTGACAACTTGATGGAGATAGTTGAAAAGTTGTTGCAGAAATATAGATCACAACAACATACATCGAACTAGATGAGATCTACGGTGTTGGATCTATATTGCTCGAGTTTTTATGGAGATCAGCATAAATCAGTGCACGAGACTAAGAGGGAACGACTTGGTGTTTTGCTTGATCGCACTTATGGATTCGATACACAACGACATCGACTGGAGCATGACTGCCTAGAGAAATTGGGTAACCAATTACCTCAAAGTCGATGTGATTGGCACAGGGGAGTAGACCGAAATCAATTTAGAAGTGAGCAAATAAAGAGTTTTACTACATCCAGATCCACCCCTACCGTATGATCATCCCAGGCTAGGAGATTGACATCTCTAACCCCGGTGAGTTGTTATTCCTATAACAAATCTACGACCTGAGCATCACACAAGTAAACAGAGAAAGATATGTCATTTCTTTAATAATGAAAATCGTAAGTTTTTCGTTAGAAATGTTGACGCATTGAAAGACACAAAAAGCCCTAAATCTAGTGAGAAACTAGTAGATTTATTTGTATATCAATATGCAGAAGAGATAATTGGGGATATGCCTAGCATTTTATTGATGAAATTATGGATGATTCTAAATCTGATAATGAGAAAATTTAGCATTGTATCAATCAGAATGAAATGTTAATATTTAACATTCTTTATGTTGAAGACAAAATTGGATTTGTAAGTGATTCCCTCCTTGTGAATGCAAAAGTGCAACCCCTAACTACAATGAAATGGGTTTTAGGATTGGATGAGAAAACAAAGATAGCGGTTTTTTATCAAAGCAAATTGTCGATGGTCAGAAATAAACTATCTTTGTTGCCATTAAGTGATGA